AGTACTGCAGTGGATGGGATTCTTCACCAGAGCAGAGATGCATCCTGTCCCCACGCAAACTCGGCATAATCCCGAGAAAGGATGGAGCAGCAATGCGCGTCTTCCCAGAGGGAGCACCCAGCAGTCACTGCAGGGGAGCTGTGGCCCCCATCTCATGGCAGATAGGTACCCTCTTCTCATCTGTACCCTGCCCTGGGTGCTGGCTTCAGGCAGACCCACGCTGGGGCTTCCCGGTGCTGCTGGGAAGTTGCTGGCAACTCAGCAAGCCCCATCCACGTGGGCCATTAACCCTCTTGGCAAAGGCTGAATGAGCACGGCTGCATGGCTCTTCTCACCACACAGGCTTGGGGATCCAAGCCTTCATCCAGGGCCAAGGGAAGCCCTGAAGACCTAAGACCTGGATCAGGTTGCCTGGAGAGCTTGTGGAGTCTCCTTCCTTGGAGATATTCTAAAGCCATCTGGACAGAGTCCTGGACAAGATGCTATTTAAGCAGAGGCAGGGAAGGATTTAACTAGATGATCTCCAGAGGTTCTTTTGATCTAGCCACAAGCATCCATGTCCCACAAGTGTCCCAGTCCCACAATCAGGGAGAGGAAAGGACTAGGACAAGTACCCCCCATCTCCAGTTCATCCCCCTCCTTCCTGGAGGAACTAGAGCCATGAGTATTTGGAGCCACAGAGAGGGCAGAGGAGAACAGAAGAGCACGACACAGCGCAAGCCAGCCCCCACACACAGAGCCCAACATGACAACCAACCACAGTTGAACATGCTTCCTGGGCAGCTGCAGCAGCTCTGCCATTTCAGCTTGGTAACCCTATGCTCTCAGACTCACCCGCTGCAAAGAAGCCGAGCAACTTTATCCCAGAGGTCCCCCTCTTCATGCCAAGAATGAAGCGAGATCAGTAACTCAATCATTTCCCTGCACACTGGAGGAGCCACCCCAAACCTTCATCATGCCAGCAGGGGTGGTATGACTGCAACCCACCAAGACCTACCTACAACCACAATAGCCCAGCAGGCTCCCCCTGCCCTGCTTTTAAGTGGGAAAATAATCCACACCTGGAAAACCCGGGTATGGGGAAATGGGAACCACCTGGAAGAGTTTGATTTTGCTAGGAAAAATGCCAGAGCCACCTTCTGCAAATGAATGGTGAGCCCGCCTGCAAGCCCAGCTTTGTGTCGAAGGGAAGGACAGCCTCATCACACAGGCACTGCCAGCTCCTCCTGGAGCACAACCACGTGCTGGAGACATCCCCCTTCACACTGTCTCCAGAGCACCAAGGTGAGCCAAGAAAAGTCTCATTAAGAAGAAGAAGGCTTTGGCCATGGCTCCAGGATGACTCCTCAGCTGCCAGCCCCATGGTGGCACCCCGGTCTTCCCGTCCCCATGCCCAGCTCTCTGGAGGGACGGCACAGGGAGCTGATATCCCTGATGCTGTCTCTGATGGGTGCCCTAGGAGTGGCATCACTCGCCACCAAAGCAGAGTGAGACGGTCATCTGGCAAGTAGGGAGACACCAGCAGAATGCAGCCCTTGGAGTGTTTCTCCAAACACTGCTCTCCACAAGAGGAAAGGCCACCTCTTCCCTCACACTGCCCAATTCCTTCGCCTGGTGCCAGGCGATCCCATCTGGCACCGAGTTTGCAAGACTCCCCAAAGTCGGCGGGATACTTTGGTCCCCCCGGAACCCCTTTGGTTTGCAAGAACTGCGAAAGATGCCCTTAAAAGGCTGCGGCGCCTGGGGCCGGCGGCAGCAGCGGCCTGGGAGAAGGTGGGAGCTGCGGGCGCCCGGCCGGCCAGCGGGATGGGACCAAATTAACTCAAGGGCGAGCAAGGGTAAGGGCAATGCCGCCCCGGCGCACGCCTGCTGCCACGGCCGCAGCACTGCGGGGCGCCCGGCCTGGCGCTGCCTGCAGGGGCTGAGAGTGCTCAGTGGGACTGGGGCGACCCGAGGAAAGGAGTCTGGGTAGTCACGGGACGTCATCTAAAATGTTAACTTGCTTGGCGTGCCTTTGCTGGCCGGGAAGGACCCTCCACCCTGAGCCGAATGGCCCTCGACCCCGCTCGAATCTGCCGGGACGGCACAGGACAAGCAGCAGCTGCCCTGCTGCCAGGC